AAGAGCGACCCGCCGTGTGGCGTGTTTTCCCAGAGGTTTTTCCATGTCGGGATGGTTCATGCACGTCTCCTGGTGGGCCTATTCTGTCAGCACTTCTCTGTGGTATAGCGTTTCTTGACTGTGTGGCGGCAGCCAGCGCGGTGGTCTCCACACCGCTTCCCGGGCACCTGCTGCCTGCCTTACCAGGCACCTGCGAGGCCTCCCAGAGCAGGCGCCTGCTGCCTGCTGGCCTCCCCCTATGAGGAGGAGGATTCTAAATGGTTTTTTTTGTTTGTTTTTCTTCCGGTATCAGGAATCGAACTCACGACCTTGCGCTTGCCAGGCAGGCATTGTGCCGCTGAGCTAAATCCCCAGCCCTGTCTGTCTTTTAAATATTTTGGGAGGCTCTGCTGGTGCGTGCCCAAACCATCCCTTCTGACTTGTGATTGCTTAACCCCTTAGCTTGGGGTCCCCCTCTTCCAGCAGGCACTTGAGGGCTAGCTCTGGGGTGCAGGCTTGTCTTTGTGATGCAGCCTCCTCCCTTCCTCATCAGAAGTCAGCATGGACCAGGCTTTGACACCTCTGAGCCTCACAGGAGTCTTGGGGGCAGAAGAATGAGTCCTCAGAGCTGAAAGAAAATACAGGACTTTTGGAGTGGGTTATTTGGGAGAGGGTGGGCTTCATCACTTGCAAGTTTCCGGGTAGTACTGTAGAGATTCCATTATGACCAAGAGGCTGGACCAAAAGGTCTGTAGGGTTTCTTCTGATACGTAGTTCTCCAAGTGGACCTAGGTGCTGGAGTGAAAAAATAAGCTCCTTGTAAGCCACCCTGATCTTTGGGTCTGAAGGTACTGAAATATCGCATTTTCCAACCTTTCCCTCTCACTCTCTGCTCTAGAAAGCCATCATATTGGCAGACATTTAGCACAGTCCCTAGTGCTGCTACGTGCCAGGCACTCATTCATGCAGACCTGTTTTGAGTCCCAACTCACCTATTCAACTGTATGACCTCAGGCACATTACTAAATTCTCTGCACCTTAATTTTCTCATCCCTAAAATGGGGAAAGTAGCACTTACCTCCCAGTACTGAGGATCAGTGAAATCTGATTGAATGGAGCCTCAGTTATAATTGTTTCTCAGCCCCCCGATATATTAAATGTAACTTATTTGTAATCAGCTAAAGACCTAGAGGTAGTTTTTCTGTGAGGCTTTAGAAACCATGGTTACTGAACTCTTTTTTTCCCCCCCTATTGCACAATCTTGTGTTTGTCAGTATGAAATGCGCTTGGAAAAACTCTCAGAAGGATTGGCAGTGTGACATGCTATAAAAGAGAGTGGAGTCAGGAGCACTGGTTTTCATTTCTGATTCGAACTTTTCCCGACAACTCAGTGACCCTGGGAACCAGCCTACCGTTGTCCCCAAACTTCCTCCCCAGTCTGGATTCCACCTCAGCTGGTGGTTCTGCCTCCTTTGTCATGTGCAGGCTAGAAACCTGAGTCATCCTAAACACTTCCCTCTCCTCACTCCCCCTCCATCTCTTTCCTAATCTAATTAGTTCCCAAGTCATGTCGAGTCTATCTCTGAAATAGCTAGAGAACCCATGCCGTCCCCCCTGTTCCCAAGTCTGCTGTCTGGTTCATGCCCTGCCTGCCTGGTACCTGGGCTGCTGCCGCCCCACTAGCTCATCCCCCACACTACTGGCTGATTCTCTGAGCAAGGCTTTGATCACGTTCCTCCCTACTGGAAACCCTTCTGTGGGACTCCATTTTCTCCAGCGTGGAGCCCAAACTTTAAAGTCGTGCTCCTTTGTTCAAATATTTATGGAGGCTTGCAGGTGCCAGGCACTGTGCCAGGCCCTGGGCTACCTGATGACTGAGGCCCAGCATCTGCCCCTGGGGAGCTTACTCTTGGGAGGAGATGCAGATAACTCCACTGCTGACTGAGAGGTGATGGGAAAGGTGGTTGGTCAAGGAATGTGTAAAGCGCCTTCCTGGATTCCCACTGTATTCTTTCTTTCACCTATTTCCTGACCACATCATGCTCACTCATAAGTCCATGCTGTCTTTCTTCTCCCTTCTGTCTGGAGCATCTTCCACTGCCTTGTTTTGCAAGGAATGCCCAGGCATCCGATATTACTTCTCTTCTTCCAACTCTGATATTACTGCTTCCTCTTCCAGGAAGCCTTTGTGATTCATTTCATGAATTGTTCATGTGACTGCTCATTTATTCATTCAGCAAGCAACAGATTCCTCTGTCTATGTGGCCTTCCTAGCATGTAAGTAGATTTTTCTGCTGGCACTGATCAGATTGTTTTATAATGATGTGTGGGCTATTCAAGGGCAGGGTCCCCTTAGTGTTGTGCTCTCAAGTTGTGCTGTATAAACACTCATTGAATGAAGTCATTTCACAGCTCTGCACTCAGTTTCTTCATCTGAGAAGTAGGCCACTACTCTCTTCCCTTTTTCTGCCAGCAATGTTTGCATATGTGCAAGTGCTTTATGGGGCTTTAGTGTGGGAGAGAAAGGGGAGGGTTTTGTTGCTGCCAGACTGCTCCAATGCACAGGGCCTACAGTGAGAGTTGGAAGGGCAGAAGCCCTGCCTGGCTGTGTCTGCTTTGCTGTCCGTGGAGCGTTTCCCAAATGGGAGAGTTGGGTCTCAGGTCCCTGACTAGGGAGAGCTTTGCTCACAGGGCTTCTGACAGCAGCTGCTTCCCGTCTCGGTGTCCAGAGTGTCCTAGCCTGGAATCCTGCACCCTGTTGCTCCTGAAGGAGCTCTGTAGCAAAGGCAGGGGAGTCATTTGGTGTGGGCTGGTGTGGGGAGGTAGTCCTGCCCGCTTCTGCCTTTTCCTCTCAGGGACTTGGGCAAGCCTGTGTCCCTCCCAGCCGTAATTTTCTCATCTGTAAAATGAGAGATAAGTTACATTAGTGGCCTTTGGGGTACCCCTCCTGTCACACCTCTCCAGCCTCCTTGGGAATCTTGTTAATTCCGAAGTGCCAGATAAAATGTCATTTTCTTGTGGAATCCCTCTGATTGTACCCCCTTTCCATTGCAATTCCATGGCAAGTGGCTTATGTGTCTAAGTTATACACCTATTTTTTATGCTGTTCCATTAGGTGTTACAGAGTAGCCCCATACCCATCTGTTAATTGTGAGCTCCTTCAGAATATCTTACCATCTTTTACCCCGGATTTACCGGGGCTGGGACTTTGCTGATAGTAACAATTCATAGAATAAGAACAGTAGCTGCAATGCTTTATCAATTGCTCATTCCAAGCTTTGTTGTTAGAACCATTTTTCTTCCACTAGTGGTTTTCAGACTCTCTTTTGGGTCATTCTGAGGGTGCTTCCAAGTCCTCTCAGAATCTAGCAAGGCAGGCGGCCCCCATGGTGAGGGCCCTGGAACTTGCCCTGGCTTCAGCCAGAGCTAGTTATTTTGATTGATTTTGTTCATTGAATCAAGGGCTGCTTTAGCTAAAAATTAAACTAACTGAATTTTGCTACACATATTTTGTGCAATACATGGAACAATCCAACGAGGAAAGGATTATTATATTTTGTGAAGAAGCAGGCATGAACTCAGCCGGTAAGAGCAGAGATTTGAATCAAGATCTGTCATGATTTCATCGTCTGTGAGAGTCTTGCTGTTAGGGAGCTTCCAGGGAGGAAGAGGCCCCATGATACTGAGTGGGAGAGGTGGCCGGGTTGCTTCCTGCCCTCTGCTGAGAAGCCTCCCTTCCTTAGATGAAGTATGAGTTTGGCCTTAGCCTCAAGAGTAACTGTCTCAGGACCTATCAAACGCAATAAAGGAGAAAGCCCAGACTTTCAGTGCTAGGTCAGTGGGGCACCAAAAGTTGATCTGGAACACACTGGCACCTGTATTGTCCTTAGAACTTGGCCAGCAGCTCTCCGTGTGCTTGACCTAAGCATGGCTGCAGATGTGTTGGTGATGTGCTCTGCCAGGCCCGGTACTGGCCATTTAGGAGCATATAGTGGGACACTCCAAGCCTCACGAGTCACTGACTTGTGGCATGTAGAGATGGACAGGAGTCATGTTGCTCCCATGTAAGCTCTAATGCGCAAATGGCCTGGAGACCTGGATTTGAGTCAGGAGACCTGGATTTTTTGCCTAACCTTCTCCATAGCCTGTGTGTAACTTCTCTGGACTTGAGTTTCCTCTTCTGTAGAGAAGGACTAGTATTAATAGTTAACATGTATCCAATGCTTACTCTGTGTCAGGTCCTATGTCAAGTGCTTCACATAACTCATCTCATTTCATTCCTATAGTGGCTGAGGTAGACACTAGTATCAGTCCCATTTTGCAGCAGAAGATTCTGAGGCTTAGAGAGGGTAAGTCATTAGTCCACTTGGTAACTGGCAAGACCTGAATTTGAGCTAATTATTTTCACCATTGTGCCATATTGGCTTAGGAATGGGTGTCCCTGCCTGCCTCGGAGTTGGGAGTAAAGCTAGGGAAATGTTTTTATATGTTGAGCTAACCGAAAGTAAGGAAGACATGCTGTGAATGGATATTATTTGTAGACACAGCGCTGGTCACTGATGAGTGTCAGGGCTGTGTGGCAAATGAAGTCTGTGCTGTGAATTCTGCAGATGAAGATGGGAGCTGCACAGGGTAAACATTTAGAATTCTGTTTGATTCATTTGACTACTCATTTATATAATAAATACTTACCGAGCACCCATTGTGCTGGGAGCTGGTGTTGAAGTGGCAAACCAGACATGATCCCACCTTTGTGGAACCCCTTGCTGTGCAGGAAAAGGGGAGTCAAGAGGGCGAGATTCCAGCCTTGACTCTTCAGACCATTGGTGGTGTGACGTTGGATAACTCACAGCTTCTTAGAAGCTTAGGTTTCCTGTCTAAGCAAGAGGATCGTAATTCCAACCCTGCCAATAAAATCAGCTGAAAGAATGGCAGTGGAAGTGCTTTATAGCTATAAAGTGCCATACTGTGGTCATACTGGCCATACTAGCCTCATCATTCTGACTGATACCTTCCCACAGGGCTGCCCTGGAGCTGCAGGACAGGCGCCTGGAGCCCCTCCGGGCAGCTACTACCCAGGACCCCCCCACGGTGGAGGACAGTATGGTGGTGGCTATGGGGGTCCTGCCCCTGGAGGGCCTTATGGACCACCAGCTGGCGGAGGGCCCTATGGACACCCCAGTGCCCCAGGAGGACCATATGGTGGTGCAGCGCCAGGGGGGCCTTACGGTCAGCCACCTCCAAGTTCCTATGGTGCACAGCAGCCTGGACCTTATGGACAGGGTAAGTAGTATCTTGGACTCTGGGTCCTCTGACCTGGTTCTGAGTTACTCATAATTCATCCTTGTCGTTTTTATTGCTATGCAGGTATCCTGGTGTCTGGCACATTTGCATTTTGTTTCCAGTCTGTATCAGCAGGATGAGAAGACTGTCAGCTTTGCTGTGGTACCAGCCACTCCAAAATCTCCTTGGCTCACCACAAGCATTTATTTCTCTTGCTTGCTCATACTTATTTACTCTTGCTTATGTGTCGGCAGCTGCAGGTTGGCAGCTGAGTTTCTGTTCCATGTGTCTTTTCATTCTGAGATCCAGGCTGAGGGAGCATTCCTTATTTGGGATGTTATCTGTGTGGCAGAAAAAAGAGAAGACAGCTAGTAGGGATGGCAGAGCCTCTTAAGGTTGCTGCTCTGCAGTGCCACATGTCTGTGTATGCTCTGTTGGCCAAAGCACATCCCCCAGGCAGGTCTGACATCAGTAATATGGGAATGGATGCTTGTATCATGGAGGAGCTCTGTGAGCCCCCAGGTAGCCAGAGAGAATCTACAATGCTTTTATAGGGAAAAGGAGATCAATAAATAATTGGAGACAGTACTGTACTCTACTGGGGGAGAAAGCCCATTCGTGTGGGAAGGAGACTGGCTGCCTTTATAGGAAGGCAAGACAGTGTAGTTTTGAAAGGTTGGCTTTGAGGTCAAACTACCTACTGACCTGACCAAACCATTTCAACTCTTTAAGCTTCAGTATCCACATCTGTAGATGGGAGCAGTACCACTACCTCCCATGGTTGTTTATGAGGATTAAATGAGAAAGTGTCTGGCTTGTAGGGAGGGCTTAGTAAACAATATTCTGTGAGAGGACTCACTCTAGGGCATTCTTAGAATGGGAAGGATTTGGCTTTTAATATGCTGGCAGATGTGACATGAGCTTTACCATTAAAAGATGCTGAGGCAGGCAGGAGGATGAGATACAGGAAAGGAACACCAGAGAAACTGACGGTGAGGTTCTAGACAAGGTGGTGCGGGGCAGAAGCTGAGAGATTTAGTAGGTGCAGAGAGCCTTGGCTGGGGGCTCTGGCCTTAGTGAGATATCTGAGCAGTTAGACAAGATCAGGGAGAGGAGATACCAGCCCTTTCTTTTGCTTCCCACCAAACTCTTTTCGGTCAGCTCCTTTACAGAGTGATTGTTCCTGGGAGACTAAGCCACCAGCAAGGCAGCCCAGAATCACTTTGGTGCATAGGAAGGGCCCCCAGGGAATGCACTACTGGGAAACAAGCAGCATCTGAGTGTTTCTACTCAGGCAGGTGGCCCCAGAGGAGATGCTCCAATCTTGGGGGTTCTGAGCACTGCCAACCAGTGGCCTTTAGTCTCAGAGCCCAGAGCATCTGGCCATTTGCTTTCAGCTCAGCCGTGCTCAAAGATTTCCCCATCCTTTTTAACACCTTGTCTCTAAGCACGTTGGAAGTCACTGCAGAGAAAGGAGCTCTTGGTTCAAGGCTTAATCCCTCCAGGCCAGAGGCTAGAGGTAATCTCTAGGGCTGGATAAGACTGGAGGGCTATGCCTCACACCTCAGCCACTCACCTTCTGCTGCTCCTTTTGTTTAGTTTCCACTGCCTCCTTCCCAGAGTAGCTAGTGACACCGCTCCCTGCCCTCACGCTGGCTTCGGTCCTACAGAAGGCACGGTCCGTGCATCACCTGCGCTGATGGCCTTGGAGGTGCCACCTTCAGTGCTGGAGTACCACTGTTCTGGAGAACAGATTGGACTATTAGAGCCGCCCTCTGCCCAAAGGAACATTCTGAAGGCCCTGTCCAGCTTCCTCACCCGTTATTCTCCTCCCCTCCCACCCACCCAAGACCCCTCGGAGGACTGTGATTGCACCCTGTGCCTTTGCCATCTGCCCTTTCTTTTCTTTATTATCCTTTTAGACTCAGTTGTAATATTCCTTCCTCTGCGAAAATCTAACCTTACCCATTCCAGGGCCTTTGCTAAGAGCCTTATTTTGCTGTTATCATTTAATCAGTACAATCACCCTGGGAAGTGGTTTCATTTTAGAAATGGGAAAATCAGTACTCAGAAAATTACATATTTTACTTAAAGCCACACAAACTAGTAAGGATCAGAGCCAAGAATCCAAATTGCTTTGATTCCAAATCCTAAGCCCTTCTATATAAACCATGAGGCCCACACATTTTATAAAATTTGCCTGCGAAGGGTGTGGCCCTCCCTCCCTCATGATATTGCGGTACAGGAAGATAGGTGGCACCTGCCTGGATTTCCTGTCCAAGGTCAGACTCAGCCCTCGGCCAGGCAAACCTTTTTCCCTCTGGCTCACCGTTGGGACTGGGTGGTGATTTCTCTCCTCCACAACTTCCCATGGCCGTCTCTGCCACTGTTCTTGTGAGCCCCTTTGTGGCAGTTAACTCTCTCAAATTTTTCAAAAGATCGCCTTCCCATCTCTCAGCTTACCTTTTCCAGAAAATTCGTGATGTGCTAGAGGGGGACGGGAAACATAAACAGAGAAGTGACTGGGGCACTACTCAAAGTACCTGAAAGATTCTTGGAGCAGAAACCAACTGCAAATACCTATAGGTCTGCTGAAGGCCTCTTTCCTCACAGTAAGAATGTCAGCTTGATGGAACAGGTAGGGAGACTTGTGAGGCTTTGTGGGTAGGGAAAACCTGTAGCTAGTGAGGCACTGAAGCTTCCGGGCATTTCTGTAGATTGACCTGGAGACCTGGGTCTGACTCCCTGAGTTCACCCGCCTTTCCCCAGGTGGCGCTCCTCCCAACGTGGACCCTGAAGCCTACTCCTGGTTCCAGTCTGTGGACTCTGATAGAAGTGGCTACATCTCCATCAAGGAACTGAAGCAGGCTCTGGTCAACTCCAATTGGTCCTCATTCAATGACGAGACATGCCTCATGATGATAAGTGAGTCCTGGGCCCTCTCTGTGGGCTTGAGCTGGGGCAGAGCCACCTGATAGTTGACACTAGGTGCGCAGGCATCCACTCTGAGGACAAGTCTTTTGGTCCAGGAGGAAGCTAGGTTCAAAGAAAGAATCCCTGGACTGAGAGCTCTTTCCTTTGGATCTTTTTTAAGTTCTAGATCACTGAGTTATAGGTTGACTCAGTTTTCCATTTTGCATAAAGGGATTCCCTGCCCTGGTAGTAAACAGCAAGGGTTGGGATCTGCATGGATCCAAGACTTGAGACTTAGCCACTGCACCAATGGAGAAAACAGCTCTGATTGGGATGGAATTGAGGGTGGCTGGGGTGGAGGCTGGTGCTGCATTTGATGCTGGTACCTTGGGCACAGAGATCTGGGTCTCAGTTCTGTGGTTCTGTGGAATCTCCCAAGCCAGCCTGGGGAGAAGGGCTCCCTCAGTGGCACACTTGGCCCTCAGTTTTGAAGCCTTCCTCTCCTCCCTGCCTACCCCTCAGACATGTTTGACAAGACCAAGTCAGGCCACATTGACGTCTACGGTTTCTCAGCCCTATGGAAATTCATCCAGCAGTGGAAGAACCTCTTTCAGCAGTATGACCGGGACCACTCAGGCTCTATCAGCTACACGGAGCTGCAGCAAGGTGAGGGCGTGGCAGGTGCATGGTGGGCAGGCCAGAGGTGGACTCTTTTTACTCCGTAGGATGGAACAAAGGTTTTTCTTCTCAGTGGCAAATGTCCACTTCTACCCCAAAATATTGTCCTCAGTGTAGGCCCACTTACCACACTGCTGTGACCTGGTTGGAGCACTGAGTCAAAATCTAGAGCAAGGAGAGACTGGGTGTAGAACGAGGGCTGGAGCACCTGGTGGTAGGACACCCAGCCAGTCTGGCCATGCTGGGTGACATGGCCCCAGGTGGCAGGAAGCCTAAGATATGGAAACTTGATGCCCTGGGGCACTTGGAGACCAATGTGTTTTGTTTGTATGGTCGCTTCCTCTCATTCCTAGCATGGGGGATGGAAAGAGTTCTGTGCAGGGCCTCAGAAAGATAGGCTGTATTGGTACCTCTGCCGGAGGCAGTTTCTTTCCCAGCTGTGGGACTGAGCACACTCTGAAAGTTGTAGTCGGGTAAGATGACCTGAAGCCACAGGTCCAGGTCTGTTTCCGATCTGACTCTGTAAGGCCAGTAGACGAAAGGACAGGGGGCTAGTGGGTCTGTGGGATCCCCAAAAGAGAATTTTGTGACTGAGGAGGAGGCAAGGGCTGCCAGAGTCCAATCCCTTGCCCTGGCTGTGGGTTTCAGTCAGACTAAGGGAGTCTGGGGGGAGTGAGTGCGCCATATCTGCCCCTGGTAGAGAGGAGATGGTCGTTACTCTTGCCAGCTTGTGCCATAGCTGTGGGTAAGGGTGACACTAATAGCAGCAAAACTAGCATTTAGTGAATGCTTGCTGTGCCTCAGGCACTGTAATAAACATCTTTAATAGATGTATAGAATTCATTCTTCCCATGCGTTAGATCCTATTTATTATTCCACACCCTTTGGTGAGGATCCCTTAGGGTCTCCTTTCTACAAATGAGAAAACCAAGACTTAATGTACATAACTTGCCTAAGGGCCCACAGAGCTAAAGGAGAGCTGAGATTTGATACTGGGCTGGTAAGTTATGTGGAGAAGAAGGCAGGAAGCATCTCAGTGGGAGGTGGCAGTGCAGGCAGGCGATCTTGGAACGGTCCCAGCAGTTTCATACAGGGAGACAATGATTTTATTAAAACAGCACTTACTGAGTGCCAGGCACTGTGCTAAGTGCAGGACATGATCACTCCCTTTGATTCTTACAGAACCCACAAGGTTAAGTGTCAGCCTCATTTTAGTGGTAATAAGACAGAAGGGTAGAGGAGCTAAGAAGCTTGCCCAGAAGAAGGCTTCCTGCCTTCTTACCAGCCCAGGATCAGATCTCAGCTCTCCGTTAGCTCTGTGGGCCCTTAGGCATGCAGCTCAACCTGGGCTGGGCTGCCCTGGATGTCTGCCTTAGGCGGGGACATCCCCGCTTCTTCCTTCTGTGTGCGGATGAGCCACTGTTGTGAGCCCAGATTAAACAACCGTGAGGGAGATTTGGGGAAAGGAGGCCTTTCAGTGAAGGGAGCAACCAGACAGAGTCCCCGTTGTGCTCCTGACATCTTGACAGACCTTGGGACTTCACTGTCTCTTCATGCTTCTGTGCCGGTCCTCTCAAAATCCCCTGATCTGCGGTGCTCCAGTGTTACTGGCCGATGGAGGTGCTCGTGGCAGGCTTTTATTCTGTTTTCTGTGCCCCTCCTCTCCAGCTCTGTCCCAGATGGGCTACAACCTGAGCCCCCAGTTCACACAGCTCCTGGTCTCCCGCTACTGCCCTCGCTCTGCCAGTCCTGCCATGCAGCTCGACCGCTTCATCCAGGTGTGCACCCAGCTGCAGTTGCTGACTGAGGCCTTTCGGGAGAAGGACACCGCTGTACAGGGTAACATTCGGCTCAGCTTCGAGGACTTTGTCACCATGACAGCTTCTCGGATGCTATGACCCAGCCTCCAAGGACCTTTCCTGGCTCATTAGTGTGGGAGAAGCATGTGGGCCTCTCTTTTCCTGTCCCTTGTAGAAATTTTTCCTTGCTTGAGGCAGCACTGTTCCCAGGGGTTGGAAGTCCTACATCAGAGCCACCAAATAGGGAGGCCCTGACCTGTGGCTACACAGGTAAGAGCCTGACCTAAAAGAAGACTGGAAGTTGAATGCTCTGACAGCCCTGAATGGTTGGATGGCACAGCCTTGTACCAAGAGACGCCAGTCATGGCAATGGAGTTAGTGTCTGGTCAGCTTGTTCTGGCCTGCAGCTCTCCCCTGTGTACTCTGATGCTAGTAGTAAGTGCTCATCAGCCTCTCACCGTTAGTGCCTGTCCTCCCTCACCCAGGCCATCTTGTCAGAGGAGCGCAGAGCCGTTTCTCCACAGTGAAATCTGTCTGAGAATAAGGGAGATTTTCCCATAGAACCAACAGCTTGGATTTTCCTACATCTAGGAATCCTTGCGTGCGAACTTCTAAATGCCGTGGGCCTTGCCCACTCTGGGAGCTTGGATATATGCCCTCAGGCATCTTTGGCCAGGCAGTTGCCCTCTGAAGCTCGGACCCTTCCCTTACCTGCCATGCTGTGCTCAGCTTCAGTCTCCAGGGGACCATGTCACCCTACTGCCAATGCTTTTTTTTTTTCCAGTTTTTTTCACTTGGGGCCAAAAGTCCAGTGAAATTGTAAACTTCAGTAAAAGGATACCATTCGAACTCTGGAGTCCTTTGTTTCCACCATGACTTCCCAGCTACAACTTCATACTCATCCATTCATTCACTTATTTATTCTTTCATTCAGCAAATACTTAAGTACATGCTGTGTACCAAGCCATACAGAGAGAAGCAGCTAGGGGGTGGGGCGGGCTGTGGCTGATGGGGGCTCCTCTCCTTTGCCAAGGTGAAGTTGGGGTGGTGGACAGCTCACTTTATACTGCCAGGTTCACTTCCATGTGGCTGAGGATCAACCCAAGAAGCTGCCCATGTTTCATAGAAGTTTTAGGCTGACGTGCTAGGCTAGAAGCAGTCACCCCAAACTTTTCACGTCTCGGCCTTTTTATTATTTCAGGCCCAAGTTTTATCTTCTAGACAAACTGCATTTATGGAGTCATAACTTTTCCCCCATTTTTATTAAGCACAGACATCTGTACCTGCCAGTTGGATCTCTAGATCAGCATGATACCCAGTCTACATTGGAAGTCTGTAAGGAGCTGACAGAATTTCAATCAAAAGCTGAAGACACCAGACAATCTAGTTTGCCAGGGGAGCCTTATCACTGGTAATGGTGTGATTATCCTTTGGCTTTTGGAGATGAAGATAAGAGCTTTGAGGCCTGTCCTCCCTGCAGTGCAGGGAGTAGCTACAACTGTTTAGCCAGCAGGCAAGTCAGGCTCAGCCAGTTCAGCCCCCTTCTCTGCACTGCTGTGCCACTGGAATCCAGAATCAGATGGGATCTATTTCCCAGAGGCCAGTCCCCATCTGGATCCAACATCCCCTCCCAGGACACGCAGGGAGTCCAGCTTCTCCTTGCAGAACTTCAGTGACAAAGACTCGGCCTCACCAGCTAACTCATTTCCTCTTTAACTGGTGGGAACTTCCTCCTGATGTGGATTCTGAATCCTGTCACCTTGGAAACACTAGCTGTTGACTTGGATTTTCTCTTCAGGCCACATCACCCTTCCTGTATGCCAGTCTTCTGGGTAGTGCCGCTTGCTACCCTCCCCCACCACCCACACACATTCCCAAGTGCTCCCTGAGGCTGGATATCCCTGGGCTCTTCAGCTGCTCCTTACGGCGCACCTGAGTTGCCCACGTGAAAGCATAAAGCCCCTGGCAACTCTGCCATGCATACCACCAGGCCTACTTAAACTGATAATGGAGCCGCAGGCTCCCCTAACCTCAACTGTCAAGAAGCAGAGAGGGCTGTGGGGTCCAGTACTTGAGTTGCCCACATAGAAGCATAAAGCCCACCCCAGACCACAGGGCAGATCTGCAGCCATTACATGAAACTCCTGTTGTCTGTTCCTGCTGAGTGTCCACTGAGACCCATCTTTGTTTTTTAATTTTTTTTACGTGGTGCTGGGGATCAATGCCAGACCTTGCACATGCAAGACAAGTGCTTTACCACTAAGCTACACCTTCCGCCTTCTGCTCTAAAACTTGTCTTCAAAATGGTGTCTGAGAATAAGAGAGATTTTCCCATAGAACCAGTGGCTTGAATTTTCCCACATCCAGGAATCCTTGCATGCAAGGATTCCTTCTAAATCCCGGGGGCTGTGCCTGCTCTGGGAGCTTGGGTATATGTCCTTGGGCATCTTTGGCCAGGCAGTTGCCCTGTGAAGCTCGGACCCTAAGGTGGGTGAAGAGCCTAAGACCTGGGTCAGTCCTTGCAGGCATGGTTGGCTCTGGGCTGAGTCCTTGTGCCTCATTCTGCATGCCTCTCCTCTAGACCTGCCTATGAGCTTTGCAAGCAGCTCTGGGTCCCAAGGCCAGTGGGAGCACAGAGGAACAGGATAGCCCATCCCTCCTGGCAACAGCTGCACTGTCCACTGTGAGCTGGGGCTGTGCTGGTGGCTCGTGGAGAGATGATGTACAGAATACCATCCACCTGCTGTGGGTCAAGTGGGGTGCCCAAGACGAGCCATGCCTATGCACTCCTGGGTTGGACCCCACAGCCCACTCTGCTCCTTGACAGCTGAGGTTAGGGGAGCCTGCGGCTCCATTAATCAATTTAAGTAGGCCTGGTGGTGTGCATGGCCGAGTTGCCCCGGGCCAGATGTCTCCTGCGCCTCCCAGCAGAGCAGCACTTCAGAATGCACTCACGTCCTGCTCTGCCAATGAGGATCAGGGCCTCTGGCAGCCCTGTAATCATCTCAGTGGCAGCTGGAGCACGTCTGGCCAAGTCTGTAGCTTTCTCTTTTTAGCCTGTGGGTTCATAGAGAATAAAGAAGCCCTGATTTCCAAGAAGGTGAAGGAACAGTAAGTCCCTTCACCTGCTGCCTGTCCCCCATGTCCTCTTTCTTGCTAGAGGCTATTGGGCTGGGAGCAGGCAGTGTGTGAAAGGTCAGTGTGGGCATCAGATGCTTGGCACCACGGAGGAGGCAGCCCTGTGTGCTCTCTGAGGCCTGGCCAAGTCCATCCGGGAGCGGGGGAAGGGGAGATCTGCAGATAACAGCATGCCAGTACCTTCTCATCGTCTCCTAGTTGCCCCACCTTCTACTCCTAACCTGAGCAGCACAGATTTTGTGTAATGACAAGGAAAGGGAACATTCAGTGCCAGGCTTTTAATTACAATTGCTTCGGGCTGCTGGCCTCCGTGCTGAACGACCGCGTGGAGAATGTTTTATCACACCACAAAGCCAACAGGGTCCAACCTATTGTGTGTGCACTGGGAACCTGGTGAGGATGGGCTGTGCTTGTGGCCTCTCTGAAGGACTGGATCCAGATTAGTTCACACAGGCATCGGGGCAGCTGGCCAAGTGCAGCCCTGGGCTTTAGGGAGCCCCTGGTCCAGATGGAAATGCTGTGGGGACCTTTATAGCAGATGCCAGGGAGGGTCTCTAATTGGCAGGAGAGAGACGGGTCTTTGGGAGGAAGGCCAACATCCAGGATGACGAGGGCGGGCGGTACTGTCAGGTATGGCCAAGCGAGAGAAGTACACTAGCAACCATATCCACAGCACTTCACAATTTACAAAGAGCTTTTGACTTCCTTGGGCATGCTTAAGCTTCACATCAACCCTGCTTAGAGAACACAAGCTCAGACAGGAGAATGACTTGCTCAGAGTCACACAGGCAGAAAATCAGGACTGGAGCTTCAGCCTTTCGCTGCATCCAGCAGCCTTTCCAGGGTAGATCCCAGGAGCCAGAGGAGCAGCCCAGGCAGGAGTCAGCTGCACCTCCCAGAGCCTGCAGGGTGGCCCTAGCTCAGGGCAGCACTGTGGTGACGCTGGTGAGTACCACGTGCTCGGAGACTTTGGAGACGGAGCAACGGCTCTGCAAGGACAGGGACTTGTGACTGCCAGAGGAGCGGGAACTGGGGTCCTTCAGAGAGCTGCAGGGACCCAGGCCGGGCAGGCAGCAGGAGAAGGCAGCCTTAAACTGCTCCCGGAATTTGCCTTGGTTGGAAGACAAAAGACACAGCCATAAGGAGACAAATGCAACAGGAACGGGTCTGAAGCCCAAGGGACACCGACATAGCTCCAGCCTAGCTGCCTGTGAGGGGCAGGGAGGGAGGGCAGAGCTGGGATAGAGAGCCCCAGGGCAGGCTGAGCATTGCCAGGGAGAGAGACAGAGGCCCGTTCTTGAACAAAAATGCAATTGTCATCTGATTCCTTGACTGCACTCTGGCTTAGAGCCTGGCTTAAGACGTGGTGTCTGGCTCAGGAGCCTCAGGTCACCTCCACCCGCCTCGGTGCCTATGTGGAGAGGGCTCAGGGCTCACTCTGTGGCTAGGCTTTCACCAAGCTCTGCCCTGTGAGATGGAATGGCAATAGCAGCACTTGTGTGTGACAGTCACACTGCCAGGCACCATGCCAGGTACCTCAGTCTGTGTCCCCTAGAGCATCCCTGCACCCTGAGAGATTGTAGTGCATTGTCCTCACGTCACAGAGACAGAGCAGCTTGCCCAAACTGCCTTCTTCTCCTTTTAGAGGAGAAGACAGTAAGGGAGAGAGGGCCACTGCACACCATCCTGTGCAGCCCAAGATTACCAGAGGAACGGAGGTGATTTGGGACCAAGCCCTCGCTGATCAGGCATCTCTGGTGCTCAGCATAGGACCAAGCACACAGCAGGTGCTCAGTAAATGCAGACCGGATAGAGGTATCAAGAAGGCCCTTGTCCTTTCCTCTCCTGGTCTCTGAGTTGGAGTCCAGGGTAGGTAATTCTTGAGTGGCACTGAGGATTTTACTTTTGACCTCCAATCTCTTCAGGAACCTTTGAACTGTTTCTGGGAGTTTATTTGTGTCTAGGCTTTTTTTTTTTTTTTTTTTGTCTTTTTGAGACAGGTCTCGCTATGCAGTTCAGGCTGACCTTGAGCTCACTTTGTAGCCCAGGCTGGCCTCGAACTTGCAACGATCCTCCTGCCTCAGCCTCCCGAGTGCTGGGATTACAGGCGTGCACCACCACGCCCAGCTTGTGTCCAGGCTTAAACAGTCATCTGCACCTGCTCCTTAAGAGCCTAGTCCCCAGCCTGAGGTTTTGTGTCACTTCTGTTGGGCCAAAGCTAAGGGGGCCCAGGCCATGGCCAATGTGAGACTAGGAGGGAAAGGTAGGAGCTATAGGACTGCAGGAGAGCCCATGGCAGGAGTGGGGTCCAAAAGGGTGGAACTTCCAGGGGGAAGAGTCAGAGGGCTGTTGCTGGAGGTGGGTCCTGGGGTAGCCCTCAAGATTCTGGCCATCCTGCCTATGTGTGTGTCTGAGCAGGCAGAACCCATTTCCCATGCCTGGACTGCTGCTGCCGCCGCTGCTGCTGCTGTTTTACCTGACTACTGGATGATACAGTCATGCCCTCAGGCAGGGGCTCCTGACCCCCTGTCCCCTAGGCCTGGCTCCCTCTGGGAAGATGGACTATTGCGCATGCCGCCACTGGCCCAGCCCCTGCCCTTCCACTTTCTCACTAATGCAGAATCTGCTACTCCATCCTGGGTGCTGGCTGCTGGTAGAAGTGTGGCCTGTCTGCCCCTCAGAGCAGGGTTCCTGGGGAGAGCAGAGTCTCCCCCAAGAGTAGGCCTTCCCAGAGTAGGGTTCCATTGCCCAGGAGAGAGCAGGTAAAGCCTCCCTTCCCATCCCTTGTCTGGGCCCTGGGCTGGGGGCCTCTGGCCCTCAGTCACTTCCTGCTCAGCCCACTCACCACTGAGGAAGTTGTAGATGATGGGGTTGGCCGCGCTGTTGGCGTACACCAGCCAGTGGGAGAAGGTGAAGCAGGCGTAGACAGCTTCTCGGTCGCTGGCCTGGCGGAACATCCCGAACACCCTAGGGTGGAGGACAGTCAGGAATGGGGTGTTTGTGGGGGTGGTGCTCATGGACCTCCAGGGTTCCCACACCCCACTTCTGCCCACTGCATGGCCTTCGCTTGGGCTCTGGGCCTTCACTCCAGTTTTGGGTTCTCAATACAGAGTGTGAACTAGGGGCGGGAACCAGGGTGTATCTGCGTAGTCACCTATTTCCCCGGCCCATCCACTGGCTCATGCATCCTCACATCAACACAGGCATCCTACGCATCATCTGCTTTTCAGCTAGGGAAACTGAGGCTCAGAGAAGAAAGGCGACAGGCTCAAGGTCACACACCCAGGACACGGCCATGCCCAGACCTCGACTGTCTCCTGTGCAACCGTCCATGCACTTTCCCCAGCACCCCAGCGTCCCTCTGCTGTGTTCCCATGTCCCTCTGCCTGGACTGCTGTCCCTCCAGACCCCTCCGGGCTCATTCCCTCCGTTCCTCCAGGTCTCTGCCCAAGAGACTTAAAATGACTATTATATCTAAAACAACATCCCAACACCCCTCCCTGTCATCGTCACTCTGTGGCCTCTTTCTCTATTTCACATTCTTTCCCGGCAAGTACAGCTGCCCCAAGTCACACATGGATTTTTCTGTTTCTTTTCTTTCTCTCACAGTGGAGTGTAGCCTCTGTGAAGGCAACAACTTTGTCTGCCTTGTGCACCTGTTCACCCTAAAACTTGATGACAGTAGTGCCTAGGAGCCAAGGGTGATTGTTATTCCCATCTAGTGATGGAGGAGATGGGGGTCAGAGCTCAGGGAAGCGCAGCAACTTGCCCCAGGTCACACAGCGCAGCAGTGGGGGAGCAGGAAGAGTCCCTTATCAGCCCCACCGTTCCACTCCCATCTCTCCCTGTGCTCTCACCTCTTGAGGACATTGAGGACGCTGATGGGCAGGTAGCAGAGGGCGAAGACCAGCAGCACCACCATCAGCATCTTGGCCGTCTTCCTCCGAGCTCTCATCTGCTTCACCTCGGCCAGAAAGGCCCGGGCCCGGGGCTGGGGCTCCGTGCTGGGAACATGTCCCTGCTCCTCCAGCTGGTCTGAGGGCCGCTTCCAGTTCCGTACCAGCGCTGAGGTGGTGCCGGGGATCTGTCCAGCAGACAGACACAGCGGCGCTGGGTACGGCTCCCGGGAAGGGCCATTCCCTTGCTGGACCCACTCCAGGCATGACCGTGGAGCAGGGTGGAGGTGGGCAACCCAATAAACCCTAGCAATAGGACAAGCCAATGTTTATGATAAAGATGAGCTTTCTGGACTTGGGGAGCAATGTGGCCCTGGTTGGGACAGGGTGGCATCACTTCTCAGGGAAGAATGGGGCTCCAAGATTAGAGCCTCACTCTCCAGCATTAGCTCATTGTGAAGCCACCTACAGCATGCTTTGGGAAAGGTGTCGTTAGTCCTTAGCTGTCGTGCACCTCAGGTGGGGACCCTTGGCAAGGCCCTGGGCACTCATCCTCCTTAATCCCTGCTCCATCTTTGGGGTGGGATGAGTTGTGCCTCTCCCTGGCCCTTGTCAGACTGTGGGGAGGGCTGGGCGAGGGACAGCAGGAGGGCAGCAGGGATGGTCCTGGGCCTCAGAGCATGAGTCCCTGCCTGGATTGATGCCCATAAGCCTGGATGGTTCTGGGCTCCTGGAGCAGCCACAGACATCCTTGAAGCCCCCATCTCATTGCCAGCGTGGGAATCCGAATCACCCCACAACAGAGGGCTGTGGGGCTCGAGAGCAGGAAATATACAGTCTGGAGTCAGTTTCGACAACCGTGAGCTGTGTGGCCTGCCAAGCCTTGGGTTCCTGTCTGTCAGATGAGGAGGACAGTGTCTCTGCCCTACAAGACTGGGAGTCTGGGAGAAGCAGACAGCAGGGTGTGGGAGGACCTGGGCGTTCCTCCATGGCGGGGCCTGGATCTAACCTGTCCATCTCCCCACCCACACCCTGCACAGCCTGGGTGTACATGAGTTACTGTGTGTGGAGTGTAAGTGACAGCCAAGCCCAAGCACACTCTAGCCTGCATATTCTCACTGGCCAGTGCTGACCCAGTCTCGCTCTGACTTGTGCTAAGGCCTCTGAGCATCCCTCTCTCCATGAAACCCACTGTGGGTCCACTTATAGCGGAGGAAGGAAGTCAGGCCCTGGAACTGGCAGGCTCTGCCCTCATTGGCTCTGGCAGGAGGGTTTCCCTTGCTCAGCACTGTGACGGGGCAAGACTGCCTTTCTTGTTAGAGAGTCGTAAGACACTGGATGCAAAGCCTAGTTTGGCAAGCAACTTGGAGCTGCTGCTATTGTTGTGGTGGTGCTACAACCTAAGCACTGCAACTGCATGGGTCCAGGTTTTCATCTCTGATTTTTTTACTCACTAGGTCAGTGCTTTGGGGACCCTTACACTGCTACTCAGGTCTTTATTTCTTACATATTAAGTGGGGGACAAGATGTGGTAACACAGAGGCTGCCAGGTCAGCTAGGGGCAAATACTACAATAAATGGCAGCTGCCGAACTGGAAGGATGTTGGTCACTCTTGTGCCCCAGGGCGGGCACTAGCACTTTGGGCCTTGAGATCCCCACGTCCCTAGACCTGGCCTCCCCTGGGCCGTAGCCAGGGGGGTGTGTTCCGAAGGCAGAGGACTGTCTGCTCCCTTAGACTGTGGCCCCACCCCTCCCAGCCCAGCCAGTGCCACCAGAGTGGGCCTCACCTGGCGGCCCCAGAGCTTGCGGAAGATCTGGAAATAGGCCATGGCCATGAGGCCCAGTGGGGCCAAGTAGGTGACGATGAAGAAGCAACTGTGGTAGATCTTGGGGTAAAGTTCATCTGTAGGAGCCAAGAGATGCAAGGGTCAGGCCCAGTCTCAGAGCCCCATCCTGCCCCGAGAGTGACGCCACCCTGTCCCAACCAGGGCCAAAGAAAAGCTTGGGACAGCTCTATCCCATGTGGGCACCATGGCAGGGTCCATTTTAGAGGGACCCCCAGCAGCTAGGGGAACCCACAGTGGAATTGCCCTGAGGCCCACCGTTACCTGCCCAGTGTTCGTCACAGACAGAGAAGAGCCGGGTGCGGTTGGCTAGCTCAGGCAGCACGCTGCTACATTCCATGACAGCAGCCTGAGGCACCATGACAGCCAATGACACGGCCCAGATGCCCAGGATGGAGCCCCGGGCGCGCCGGGCGGTGCTCTTGAACAGCAGCGGGTGGCAGATGGCATACCAGCGGTCCAGGGCGATGAAGCTGAGGGTCAGTACTGCCACTGACACCGACACGGCCTGCCTCATGGGGATATGACATGAGAGGCGAGAGGGATAGGTGTCTGGGGGTGGGGGCATTGCCCAGAGATACTGGGCGTAGGACAAATCCCAGCTCTGCCACTTGCGGGAGTCACCTGAGAAGTCACAAAACTCTGAACCTCTTCTGCAGAAAGGGAATATACCATCTAGCTGGCAGGATTCTGGTGAGACTAAATAAAACCATGTATGAAAATGTCTAGTTAGAGACCTGGCACAGGGTAGGTGTCTCCCTACTGTGCACGATTACTTACACTTACGGGAACTTACTGCTTGGTATCCACACAACAACCCATCAGATGGGTGCTATGTTATAGATAAGGAAACTGAGGCACAAAATTCTCTCGTCTGTCTGTCTTCCTGCTTAAGATCACCAGAGCTAATCTGAGTGGAAAAACCTCAAAAGGCTGAGAAATCCAAGAGGGATTTCTCTCACCCGAGAAAGCCACCCTTTCCTCAAGAGGTTAGGAAGAAGTTCTCATTCTGGGAGGCAGAGATGAGTGTGGGCCGGCAGTGTGGGAGGCATCGCCTCCAGGGGTGGACTGCACACATCTGGCCCCTTAGGATCAAGAAGCAGGTCCAGCAAGTGTTAGTGTCTGTGTCACTGTAGGCTTGTCCCTCTCTCTCCTGTGCTCCCACTCAGAGGTGACTTCGCATGTGTGTGTGCACACATGGCCATGTGATATGCCTGTGACAGGGAGCAGATCTCTGTCTGAGCATATGGGCCTGTCTGTGTGCTCATGTGGCCACCATGGTGGCCTGCCCTTGCTGGCAGTAAGAATGACTCTGCAGGGGTACTGAGCCACCATGACCTGTCTGAGAGGCAAGCCTGAGGGCCACCGAGACCTACATAAAGTGGTGGGCTGGTTTGGAAAGGTGTGACAGGCTGGTGAGTGGTGCCGAGAGAGCTCACCTGTAGGTAGGGGATGACCTTGCAGAGGGTATGGCCGAAGAGCCAGGACTCAGTGATGTCCACCAGCAGGCTGGCAGGCAGGCAGATGGCCGTTACCAGCACATCAGCCAGGGACAGGTTGACGATGAAGTAGTTGGTGACCGTCCTCATGTGGTGGTTCCGCCACACTGCCAGGCAGACTGGGCCACGGGGGAGAGAGGATGAAGCCAGTCCAGTTCACACCCAGTCAGGGAGTCCCCGGTCCCCTTTAGGCCCAGGACCCCCTCCAGTTCCCAGGGGGAGCCCTCAGTACCACAGCGCAAGAAGCAGACCTACCCAGTGTGTTGCCCACCAGGGCTATAAGGAACACGGCCACATAGGCCGCGATGAGGACCCACTCATACTGCTTCGGATACAGGTAATCACGCCACAGATAGCGCAGAAACTCGTCTTCGTAGTCTGGAGGCACGGGGGATGGCTCCCTGCTGCCAGTGGGGACCCCGGTCTGTGCCCCTGGGGTGGTAGAGGGCTCCATGAGGTCAGGAGCCACAGCAGCTAAGGGGCATCCTAGGCTCTGCGAGGATGGGGGAGCCGGGTCCAGTCCTCAAGTTGCACCCAGGCCTTTGAGGTCCCAGCCTAAAGCTTCTGAAAGAAAGAAGGAAGGAAAACTTAGGGATCGTGCCTGGCGCTCTGTATGTACGCTGCCTCCTAATTCTCAGCCGTGGACCTGGTGACATCCGAATTCCACACGTGTTGCTGCTGTGCAACTTACCTCGTCCCCTTCACCCTCAGTCTCCGCATCCAGTGCTGTCCGACCGGACCTACCTTCCAGGGGCGCGGCGAGGAGCAGCGCGCTCTGATCGGCGCTGAGTACCGGGAGTACAAGAGGCCGGCCTTACAGGCGTTCCATTATTAGGGAGCCCTGCTTTGCGGACAAAGAGAGGTCCAGCCCCTTGCTCCAGGTCACAGAACGACTAAGCCAAGTCTGTTGGAATCCACCAAACACTACAGATTTGGGAGAAGCTGTTCCGATTGCAAACATTCTTTCCTTGAGTTCATAGGATTCATTTTTAGTCAGAAAAAAAGTGTCGAGGCAGGTATTAGAAACCAGACCCTGCCCTTTGGGCGCGCACACAAACATGGCCAGGAAAGATGCGGGGAGACGGTACTGACCACCTCCCTGGCGACTCCCTTCTTCAAATCCCACCCCCAGGGGTGCTCCGGCCCACAGCTAGGCCCTGCTCAAAGCCCCGGGCCGCGATGCTCCTCCGTGGCCGCCAGGGGTCGCTGGGCAGGTGCGCAGTCCGCTCTCCATTCATAAATCCGGCCTCGCTCCCGGCGCCTCCCTCCTGTCTGAAACCCCTCCTTCCCCCGGGCTGGGCAGGGACGACCCCGGACGTGTGTAGTAGGGTTGATGGTCCCTGGAGACCCGTGGAGAAGAGGGAGGGGACTCCGCACCCCACCGGCCTCGGCTGACCGGCTCCCTCGGCGGGACCTCCCTGCAGCGGGAGGCTGCGGGGTGCTGCGGAGGGTGGGCAGCGAGAGCGTTCGGGGTTCCTCAGGAGCCTGCCTGGAGGTGAGCAGAGTCGGATGATGACCCAGCCTCCCAGCATCCAGGTTACCCACCCCCGAGACTCGGCCCCCCAACTCGCGCCGCCCCAGGTCCTTTGGAACCCCGATCTCTAGCCCGGGGGTCCCCCACGCCCCGCACCTGTTGGCTTCGGGACCCGGGCGTTTTCGGCTGCTGGTCCCTCGACCCTGCGCCCGGGACGTCGCCTTCCTCCGGGAAAGGCCCGGCGCCTGGGCGCGGGGCTGGGGAGGGGGCCAGGCAGCCCCCTCCCGAGGCGCCGCTGAGTCCCCGGCTGGGCGCGAGCCCCGGCTCCAGCGCGGGCGGTGGCTCGGCGCGGGCTCCACCGAGCTGCGCGCTCCGGGGAGGGGAACCCCAGCCGGTCTGGGCTCCGGGTCTCCCAGCCCAAGACCCAGAGGAGGGTGGGACACGCTCATCCTCCTCGCCCGTTACTTCACGCTTGCATCCTACCTCCATTCATACGTCCACCCGTTCATTCATAAGGTCCGCGTTCATTCAACATTTATGTCCCCGGCCGCCGCGCATTGAGGGCACGCCTAATGTGTGCAGAGGATCTCTGGGCAGCTCCGGGGACAGCGGTGCAGAGGAGGACCCCAGCGCCACCTCTCCTCGCCGCCTCACCCCGCTGATGAGGACGGTGGCACAGGTTGGTCGCAGGGTGAGAGGGTGCCCGCACCTCTTCCAGACAGGCTCTGGGTGCTGCTGGAGCCGCGCGCTCCCAGCGATGCCAGAAAGCCCTGCTCGCTTATCTCCCGGTTCTGCCGGCCCTTAAGGCTCCTTGTTGTTCGTGCTTACCTTTCCCCTCCCAAGACAGGGATGCGAGGTGAAGACAGGAAGGCAGAGCCAGAGGGGCCCAGGGATTCAACACACATCCACTGAGCTGTGTGTGAGGCAATGAACCTAGATACTTCGGCTTCCATTCCTATAGGGTAGGAGGTGCATGATCTCATTTAATCATCACACCGACCTGGTGAGGTAGCCGATACTGTTCCCATTATACAGATGAGGACGCTGGCCGAGCTTGGCTCAGTGATTTGCCCAAGGTCACCCAGCAGAGTCAGAGCTGGGTTTGGGGCTGGACTCCTTTCAGTTCTACCAGGCGGGTGAGCAGCCAGGCGCCTCACCTATGGTGGAGTGGAGCTGAGAGGGAAGGCAGGGGGCAGTGAGGCACAGCAGGGCAGGTGGCTTCACCAGGGCTTCCTAGAATGGGAACACCTACGTGGAGACCTGAGGAATGAGAAGGTGGCCTTGCAGGGGGCTGGTACTGGAGGGGAGGTCTTCAAGGTAGAGGAAGCAGCAGGTGCAAAGGCAAGTGGCCTTCTGGGAGTCACAGATAGGCGAAGGGTGACACCTTGGCTTCAGGCAGTCACTTTGGCCATTCCCTGCCTCCAGACCCGAGCTCCCTAGCAAACAGACCCCACCCTGCTCTCTCACCCTCTGAGATTCCCACCACTTTGAGGTGACTGCTGAGACAACTCTCCATCTTCCCCCTGCAGCTAAAGCCCTTTACAAAGGTGCTGGATGGAGAAGCTCTGCTGGCACAGGACACGTGGGAGGGGAGCTGGGGCAGCACAGGGACGGATCCAGTGACTGTCACTTCTGCAGAACAGAAGGGAGGGCAGGGGCTGACCCCAAGGCAGAACTTTCTCCTGGGGCATCTGCGCCTGGGGTGATGAGTCGTGCACACCGTGATTCCAAAACTGTCCCGCCCTCTCTAGGAGCTGGCCAAGGTAGAGAAAGAGATGTGGGACTGAAGAAAAGAGGGGCCAGCTGGTGTATGTGTGTGCATACACCTGTGTGGGGATCACTGCGTCACAGAAGGGCTGTGTGTGTCTAGGTTGTGAGGGTCTGTGTCTCTGTGCGCGGGTGGAGGATGAACTGAGTTGATGATGGGAGGTCACCCTGGGTGGGGTGTGTCTGTATGGTCTTGATTTGTCCCCGTGTTTTGGTGCTTGTGTGTGTAAGCTGTGTGCATGTGAGAGGGGTCTGTGTGAACTATGCTTTGACTAGCCCTGGCCTCTGTGTGCTCCCCTGTGAGTGTGGGAATGTCTTTGTGTCCATGACTCTGAGTGTGTGAGTGTGAAACTAGGTACATCTGCTCCCACAGCGATGACTCAGCCCTCCATGTTACCCCACACACACACACCTCCCATCTAGGGCTGCGACTGTTTGCTGAGTACAGACTGGGGAGGGGGCTGCAGCACACGGTGGCCAGGAGGCAAATGGTGCAGGGACAATCGAAGGACAGCCGCAGCCAAAGGAGCGCAGCGGTGAAGTGGAAGGTGCAGATCCGCGTGTGTGTGGGCGGTGGGTACCAGCTGAGCCCAGCACAGCCCCGACTCAGAACCCAGCCAAAGCTCAGAACTGGGTGATTTATGGCCACCCTGACAAGCAGGTTCAGAGTAAGCAAAGGGCTCCCAAGTCCCCCAATCATTCCGTGGGGGTGCATGTGTCTGGGTGGGGAGTGAATCACAACTGAGAGTCTACCCAGCCAGATTACCCAGTTTCACAGAGACAGTACATCTTTCCTTATGAGAGAGCCTGAGGAGCCAACTTTCCCCCCTTTATTCCTATGTACCCCAAAATAGCTGCTCCCTAGACAGGAGATCATAAGGCAACAAATTACCTCCCACATCAGACCTAGGCCAGCAGGAGGATGTAGGCACCAGGTCCCTCTGGGCCTCAGTTAGGCCCACTCAGCTATAATTTGAGGGTGGGGAAGCCTGTTATTTGTCTTAGATGGACCAGAGGGAGACTCCAGAGTCTGTGCCTGGGGGAAATCTTGGGGGCCGCAGGGCTGGTGGTACCCTGGCAGACTCATAGGAGTTACGGTTGCTTGGTCCTTGGGCACAGCAGCACTGTCTTTGGAAGCTCCTGGCAAAATGCCTGTGCCTAGGAGAGAGCAGGAACCTTGGGTCCTCCGTCTCCAGGCTGGGCCCTCTGTCCTGGCGCCTGCTCCGCTCGGGGAGGGCCGACCTGAAGCCTTGGCTTTGCTCGAGCTGTCTGTCAAGTGGTGCCCACATGACCTCTTTCCTGGAAACAGCCAGCCCTGACCATGTTGATCTAATCCTGAGTCTCCGAGCCACAGGTCCCTGTCATATCTGTCTTCAAGTGTCAGCCTGGGCAGTGGCCCCAGGTGCCAGCCCCTCCCCCACTCTCAGTTCCAACGTGACTTACAGTAACCTCTGTCTGGCTAGGAGGGAGCAATTGAAATGTAATTGGGTTTTCCATTTGCTAATGCTCCTGCGGGCCTGGGGGTGTGCGTGGGGACTCTGTGCAGGGCAGGGGTGCCTTTTTAGGAGGACAGAGATCAGAAAACAAGCAAGAGTAGAGGCAACTGGGGCTGGGCTGTGGGCCCAGAAAGTGGGTTCTGGGTCTGGGGAGGCCACTGAGGTAAGCCGTGGGGTTTGGATGCTTGGCCCCGGCTACACTGGCCTCCGAGAACACCTGTGAAGTGTACATGCCCCGCTGAGGTACCCAGAGACATCATGTCCTCTGTGGTCCGGGCTGGACCCTGTGTTCAGCCTACGGCCCCCTTTCCTCAGGCCTGGGTGGCTTGAAGGGACCAACATCCACTGGAAGAGCGGGGGCCCAGAGCCCAGGGTCAGGCATCTGCGATGACTTTGAAAGCTACTGAGATTTTTTTGTTTTGTTTTGTCTCACCATGTAGGGTCTTAGATGGACCAGGGTCTCACCATGTAGCCCAGGCTGGCCTCGAACTCACTCCCAGGTGAGGCAGGGGAAAAAAGACTGGAGAGAGTAGCTTCCTTCCTGTTCACTCATCCATGTGCTCACTCAACACAGGCTGAGGGCTGGCCAGCCAGGGACCTTGTCTATGTGAAGGCTGGGACACCTTCTCATAGACAAGGGTTTCAGGATAGTATCCAATACCTATAGAGGTCAAGCAGGAGGTGGAATGGAGCCAGAACAGACAACGATAATGCACGTAAACCCAAAGAGAAAGCTGGCCGATCTCCAGAGTGTGTCAGGCCTAGTGTCCAAGGGAGAGTAGGAGCACAAGCGTTGGGGCCAGAAAAGCTGGACTGCCAGCTCTGTTGATTACTAATCAACAATCTGTTGATTACTCTGTTGATCCTAAAATGGTCACTTCCTTAACCTCTGGGCTGCACTGAATCATGGCCCCCAAAGATGCCCATATCCTCAAGTAGCTCAGTGGTAGAGTGTACCGCGCATGTGTGAACCAAAAAAAAAAGAAAAGCCACATTCCAATCCCTGGAATCTGAATGTGTCACGTGGCCAAAAGGACTTTGCATATGTGACTAAATAAGGATCTTGAGAAGGGAAGATGATTATGGGTTATCCAGGTGGACCCAGTATGATGACAGCCTTATAAGAGGGCAGTGGAACATCAGACAGAGGAGATGTGACAAAGGAAGCAGAGACCGGAGCAATGCTGCTGCTAGAGTGACCACAAGACGAAGAATGTGGTAGCCTTAGAAGCAGGTGCTCCCAGAGTCTCTGGCTGGAATGAAGCCCTGCTGATTCCTGGAGTTTTGGGTGTCTGACTTCCAGTACTATAAGGCCACTAAATTTGTGGTGATCTGTTACAGCAGCAACTGGAAACTGATACTCTTTCTATGTCCCATGTCATCAGTTATGAGACCTGTGCGGGTGCCATTGTGTGACAATTCACCAAGACCATGTAAGTGTGCAGAGCAGCGGGACCAGGGCACCGGCGCAGCAGACGCAGACACACACATATGTACAACATTTTAACAATGTTTTTTATTTCAAAGTCAAAGTGCTCATCCAAGGAAGAATCAGGTCTCTGTCAGACATCCTTATGCTTAGCTTGTACTTTTATATTGTTTGTATTTTGAATCACATGTTAGGGCTGAGGGCTACTAGAGCTCTAAATCTTAGAATAATGGATACTGTTAGTAATGGACAATGATGATAGTAATGTGTGCTACTGTGGCTATTTTGACACAGGAACACTCAAGGGAAAGGAAAGGAAGAGGCGTATTCTTCCTGGGAGGGATGTGAGGGGAAAGACAGGGAGCTGGAGGGCTTCTAGCTGTGACCCGAATCACCAGACACTTGAGGAGAAACTTGAACAGAAGAAAGACTACAATAAATACAAAAATTCCAGAGACAACTTGGGCTGGGTCTTAAGGGATGAATAAGAGTTTGCAGATTTGCTTTCAGTGAGACATATTGGGTAAGAGAGGGAGAGGAAAAGGTGTAGTATTCCAGGGGAGGGGATGGCATGAGCACAG